TGTTTGTGTGTGTGTGTGTGTTTGTGTGTGTTGTGTGTGTGTTATGGTGTGTGTGCGTGTGTGTGTGTGTTGTGTGTGTGTTATGGTGTGTGTGCGTGTGTGTGTGTGTGTGTGTGTGTGTGTGTGCGTGTGTGTGTGTGTGTGTGTGTGTGTGTGTGTGTGAGAGGAGCTCCACGGATTGGTCCGTTTGGACAAATGGGTCCATTTGGGTATGGTCACGTCACCAGGAAGAACAAGAGAAATCTCCAACGAGGCGTTCTGGGGCAGCAGACAGGTATTTTCTGTGTTAGAGTTTTACTCGCTAAAGGGTGTACTTTGAGGGTTTGTGACTGCAGACTGTTTACATGCATATAAACCTTCATAACACACAAGGCGGACGGGTAATAACCAGAAAAGCATGACATGGGACCTTTAATGTCTGAGCTGTGTGTCAGGAGGCCTGCCCACATGGGAGAGGTGGTTTTTAGTCATCTCTCTCCCTGAGAAGCTCCCTGTGTCTGTCTGACACATGTCAGCCGTACAGAGAAATGGCAGTGACGATATCCCATTGTCACTAATGAGGAACCCTGCAGGGTGATGGCGCTGGAGGCTTATGAGCAAGAACACGTCTTGTTTTCAGTTTAACCTTTTTATTTCACAGGACCTCATGGTCTGTGTTTGCTATTAACTGAACCTTGAGGCCCTGGCTTGTGGAGAGTTATTTCAAGTCTTAGCTTCAGTATTGAATGTGTTGACATAATTTGACCATAAAAGTGACCAACAGCACACTAAACATACGGATCAAGCATAAGAGACTTTATTTATAGGGCACTTAAACAGCCAAAAGTGCACTACATACATGCAAAACATAAAAGAAAAAGGACAATAAGTGTTTAAAATGAACTACAAAATACACAACTGCTGGTGGGTTTTGAGTGGATTTTTACTAAATGTGTTCACAGAATAGGAGCCACAAATTCAAAAGCACAGTGTCCTTAAGAGGAGACATGTTGCTAAAACAGTGTAACAGGTATGGACAGCAATCTGTACATTTCAGCTCGAGACAGAATGGGCTTTTCAGCCTCATCGGCTCCAGTCGTGTTTTTTGACCATGGTAAATCTCTTTTTTTAAGACATAAATAAAAAAAGTTACTGCATATCGCCCCGACTCCATTCTTCACTTGTCAGCGGGAAAAGACGAAGAAGACAAGGCATGGCAACTTTATTTATATAGCACATTTCGGCAACAAGGCATTTCAAAGTGCTTTACATAAAACATCTAAAGCATGGAGACCAAGTGCCAATGAAGCACACAATAAAGCCACATTCAAAGAAAAAAAAAGAAAATAACAACTCAGAGTATAATAATGTAAACAAGCCAGAATAGAATGAGACAGTACAGTGTAAAAGGAAATAATGATTTGATTAAAACAATTATGTTTTGAATTATTTAGATTTTTTAAAAGATCAGCATGAACAATCAAAGCTGCTGGTCGACCTACAACGTGTGATCTTGCCAGCAAATGGATGGCTGCAGTTCCACAGTGTGTGGATGGTCAGTTGCTCAGCAGTTTGCATGGTCAGTGACTGGCAGCTCCCTGCCACAGCAGAACAAATGCTGCTGTGGAGTCCATCTGCTGAGAGAGGAGCACAGAGAGAGCCACGGTCTGTTTCCCACACCCCGCATCATCCTCCTCACATGTTCATCTAATCCCATTACAGATGACAGCTGATAACATTTATGACACAACTATTTGCCTGTAATTTATGTTGTGTAGTAGTGCTTGATTTGTGCCTAAAGGTTAGATTTTTGCAATATCTAATAAGTACACCTAAAAAACAAAACTATGACTCTAATATTTCAACAAAATATAACTAGATATTTTAACCTATTCAGATTTCTGTTTAGTAAATGTATGCAAATCAGCACAACATTAATAACATAATGACTCTTTTGCTTATTTAAACATAACATTTCAGGTAACTTGTAATACAAAACATGTATAATTATACTCGTCTTAATTTACCATGTCAACCAGGGAAGTTTAATTGTGACATCTTTAAATTGTAATTATTTTTATTTGTTATCCTTTTCACTCACTTATTACACACTATGTATTCACGTATTGTTTATATAGGTTATCATAAGTAAAATCAACGTTTTTTTAAATAGCAAAAGAGGAAAAGTTTATAGTTTAAAACTCCATAGCCTACTTATATTCTTTGTTTTGTTTGTCTGCCAACACAATTGATAATGAATCAAAAACATGCTTACAATAAAGGTCCACGACCAATACAAAAAAAATAACAAATTTAATTTAAATAATAAACGTATATTTATTGAGATTGCTGTTCAGCCAGTTGTAAACATAGCAGGGTTATGCTGAACCTGTAGTCACGTGATCTCTCGCGATGATTCACACTGTTCTCGCAGTGTACTGCTCTGTTTGTTAATCCGTAAACGTAGCAGCTGCCTGTTGTTGAACTGGACCGATATAAGCAGAAACAAGGTCAGCATACTGTCTGTCAACATATTATATATTTTAAGATTCAAGTCAATGCCCACCTCCTCGTGCTGTAGCTATGGTTTTACTGCACGTTATTTTTGGTTGATTTGAGCTTTTACTA